TTACGCTTGTCTTCTATTTATTATCAAAACGAATGCATATTTTTTTTTAAAAAAAAATGAAGGATGATAAGTGGTTAAGACTTTTGTCATAGGTTCCTTATAATGCTTTAAAACCTCACAGACTGCATTCTATCCAGCAACTATCATTTCATATAGCACACCTTAATTATTTCACCTACAGATAGAAGACCAAGTCACATTTCCTTATCGTTTTGATGCCCTTTTAATGTCCATCTAAAAGCCGGTAGGGAGATAGGAGCTGCTAAAATTAGGGTTTTCACTTGAACTTAATGCTTAGAGATGCCACTGTTGCCTTGCCCTCCCCTAGTTTGAGCCCTGCCGCCCTCTGGGCCGCCCAAAATCCTTCATCGCTTCACTCTATTGAGCCTTTTTTTTTTCTTTCGCTAGAAAAGCGCGGGACTTTCACGCCTTATATATCCCCTATTAGTAAAAGCGAACCAGCCACGCATTTATGGTTAGACGTATATGATTTCGGAAGGGGCTCAAAAGAAACGGCTGGCTGACGGGCGCCTGTCTTTCCCACCGAGGGCTCAGGCCTCGTCCAGCGCGCTCTGCCATGCCGGGCGGATGAGGCAATGCAACCCTCCGCGGGCTTCCTAAAGGGGGGCCGCGCCAAAAGCTTTTCCTCCGGCCCCCGCCTCCCCCAGAACGTGTTGTGCCAAACTGAGCCGCGCTCCGTGAAGCGTCCGGGAGCCCCGGGAGACATTTGGTTGCTAGGGGAGTTCCGAGGCAGCAGTTAGCCTGGCTGTGGCAAGAAGGGAGCTGCGTGTTCCGAGCAAGCTCTCCAACCTGCTTCTGCCACTAATTGCCAGGCTTGGGAATGGGGAGTGAGGAAGGGAGAGCTTGGCAGCAAGCCAGCCGGAGGCGGGGGAGGCTTTGGGGGGCTCCCAAGGCTCTGGCCCGATGACGCAACAGGCAGAGCGGCCTTACAGGTGCTAGGGAGTCGGTCGGGTCCACGCCAGGAGCTCCTGAAGCGCGGAGGTGCAGAGGAGGGGAGACGGGGTTTATGCTACTCTAGCAAAATTCATCTCCACCCTGATGGAGCTAGAGCCGAGGAAGATCGGTGTGTGTGTGTGTGTGTGTGTGTGTGTAATATTTGGAGCAAGGCACCTATAATTTTTAAATAACTTTATTGTCATTGTACTTATATACACAGTATACCCAGACAATGAAATTCACTTAACACCCAAAGACCAGGTCCAACATACATAACAATCCCCAAAGATACCCCCACCCACCACAAATTTCCCACCCCTAAACCACCCAAACATCCACACAACAGACCAAGTAATGCTGTCCAACAGCTCACTGATGGTGACCCTTTAAGGCCCTATAAGGAAAGATGTCAACCCTGTCTGAGCGGGTTTCCTTTGTTCCACTGAGTTGAGAGGCAGAGTCAGATGGTAGAAGAAGACAAGACAATGACATTAAGCATGTCAGGCGCTCTTCCTTATCCCTCGATCTCATCATACAGAAACTCAGGGCAGTGGCAGGGCTGCCAGGGGAGGAGAGTTAGGGACAAAGGTCCATAGCCTTTGTGCCTGCAATTACTTCAATGTCTTCCAATCATCCCACCACTTTCTTCTGTAGGTTGCCTTGTGTCTCCTATGGGGCTTGTGCCTCAGAATGGCTGTTTCTTTTGCTATTGCTTTTCTCCTTCAATACAGATTTTTTTTTTCTTCCTTGCAAGGACTATGAGGGGCTAGTGATGTCAGGACTCTGGCCCCGTGAAACAACAGGCAGAGTGGCCTTACAGGTTCTCCAAGAGCTGGTCGGGTCTACGCCAGGACCTTCTGAACCACAGAATTGGGGGGGGGGGTGGATGAGAGGAGACACCCGGTTTATGTTACTCTAGCAAAATTCATCTCAATCCTGAAGGAGCTAGAGCTGAAGAAGGGGGTTTTTGGAGCAAGGCATCCATAAGGAAAGATTGGCTACCGCGTCTGAGCAGTTTCCTTTGTTTCACTTAGTTGTCAGGCAGAGTCAAAGAGGGCATGGTAAAAGAAGACAAGAGCATGACATTAAGCATGTCAGGCGCTCTTCCTTATCTCTCAGTCTCATCATATAGAAACTCAGGACAGTTACAGGGCTGCCAGAGGAGGAGAGTTGAGGACAAAGGTCCATAGCCTTGTTCGGCAGAAGTAGGAGTATCTTACAGGGGTAGTCGTGCCACAATCGAGCCCAAAATTTCCATTCTTAAGCAAGACAGTTGTTGAGGGAATTTTGCCCCTTTTTACAACCTCTCTTGCCACAGTTGTTAAGTGAATCACTGTAGCGTTAAGTTCATTAGCACAGTTATTAAATGAATATGGCTTGTCTGTTGATTTTGCTTGTCGGAAGATTGCAAAAGGTGATCACGGGACCCCGGGACACTGCAACTGTCATAAATACATGCCAGTTGCCAAGCATCCGAATTTTGATCACATGACCACGGAGATGCTGCAAGCGGGGTCAGGGTCATAAGAGTGAAAAATGTCATAAAGTCACTTTTTTCAGTGCCATTATAACTTCAAATGGTCACTATACAAATGATTGTAAGTCAAGGGCAACTGGTACTTCATTTTGTAAGGCAGGCCTAATAGGCCTTTCCACCTAAAGAAGAGATTATTGTTAGATGGTTCAGTCCAGAATATAAAGTTACTTAGTTGCTCTGCTGACCCCTGAGTTAACCAATCCAGCTTAACTTTTAAAAGTTCAGACTAAGGAAGAATTAAATATTTATTTGCATAACCCAGAGTTTAAACTGTGGGATTTGCTATATCCATCACTGGCCGTCAGCGTGGCTAGAAAAAAAAGAGCTAAATGAATCTAAGGAGAATAAGAATATTGGTGGGCATGAGCTATGATGCCTCTGTTGAGGCAGCAGAATGTGTCAGATACCAGTTGCCGAGCAACAGCAGAGGAAGGATGAGGCGATTCCCCTCCTATGCAGCTTGCAGGCTTCCTATGCGTAGAAAGAAAGAGGCACTCTGGGATAAACCTTCAGGATGTTCCAGCTGGAATCTGTCCTTGTGTTTTTATCAGTCAATACACAGTACACCTCCCATCCCCTGCCAAAAGGTATTTCCCACCTTTAAAAAAAAAATTCTTGTGTTAATATACATATTGGACATCATGTGTCCTGGCTGCTAGATGACACACGAATGAGTTGCAATTACAATTCTCACCCTTCCTTTGAACAGCCACCAAAGCTAGCCCGCTATATCTGGACAGCACCAGGCAGGGAGGAGACAATCTTCTTTCTTCCATTATAAAAGCCCCCCCTCTCTCTCCCCCTCCCTCCCTCCCTCCCCCTCTCTCTCTGTCTCTCCCTCCATCCCTCCCTCCCTTCTCTTCATGCATATAGTATTTAACAGTTAGATGAATCTTGCTGTGATAATTGCCAACAATATTGCTGGGTCCACACAACATATTTAACTGGGTCATGAAGGGAGTTGGGTTGCAAGACAAACAGCAAAACCAAATCCATTGTGGGGTTAAGGAGGTGCAATTTAAAATAACATAACCCTAGGGTTTTTTTTAAAGGATAAAAAGCCCTGTGTGAATATTATAATCCAGTCTAAACAAGGCATTTGCTCAGCTCCATCCACTCAGTTCTCCAAGGAATAGATCCAGCATTTTAGAGGTGCTAAAATAGTCAGACCATCCATTACAGAACTTGTGCCAGGTCCAGGAGCCTGGGAACATCCCTCCCTAAGACTTGCTGCAAGTTACACCTGACAATCACTTCACTCAGGTCAAGTTGCTTGCAGACATTCCTCCAATAAGCACCTAGGATTAACAGTTGATTCAAATTGGGATGGGGCGGGGTGGGGAGACAGTTTCAAAGCAATCTCATTTTGAGTGCCAAAATCTGAGTCTCCAGCAGATGGCAGTCTGGTGATATAGGAAACCAACTTTTTGCCTCCATCTAGTGTCCATACAATTATCTGCAGTCCAGATATGGTAGCCCTTCCATGCTCTAAATGAGCAACATTTGAAACTGCTTGCATCTTCACATAAATTACCCTATGTGGGAGAGTTATGGTGTCTGTTGCCCCATTTCTCAGGACATGCTATGCTAGCTTTGTGTCCTGGATTCCAGAGGCGTGCCTGCAATTACTTTAATATCTTCCTGTCATCCCACTTTCTTTTCTAGGTTGTTTTATATCTCCAATGAGGCTTGTGCTTCAGGATGGCTGTTTCTTTTGCTATTGCTTTTCTCTGTCAATATAGATTTTTTTATCTTCCTTGCAAGGAATCTGAGTGACTAGTGATGTCATGAAGCAGTCGCCAATATTGTCCTTGTGCAGGGATCCAGGGGAAAGCATGGACTATGTAGTCCCAAACTAAGACTCTTGACTTTGTTAGTGTGATCCTAATCTCCCAGAACAATTGATAAAGACACTAAGTGGCTGGTTGGGTTAGGTGTGTGGAGGGAAAATTATGTGACACAATTTGTGTGACACATGTTGGGAACTTAATCTCTTTCTACTTGAGCAATGCAGTACTGAATTGTTGTTAGTTGCAAAGTCATGTCCGACCCCTCATGACCCCATGGACAACTTTCCTCCAGGCCTTCCTATCCTCTATCATCTCCCAGAGATCATTTAAACTCACGCCGACTGCTTCAGTGACTCCATCCAGCCACCTCATTCTCTGCCACCCCCTTCTTCTTTTGCCCTCAATCGTTCCCAGCATTAGGCTCTTCTCCGGTGAGTCCTTCCTTCTCATTAAGTGGCCAAAATATTTCAGTTTCATCTTCAGGATCTGGCCTTCTAAAGAGCAGTCGGGGTTGATCTCCTGTAGGACTGACTTGTTTGATTGCCTTGCAGTCCAAGAGACTCGCAGGAGTCTTCTCCAGCACCATAGTTCAAAGGCCTCAATTCTTTGACACTCAGCCTTCCTTATGGTCCAACTTTCACAATCATACATTGCAACTAGGAAAACCATAGCACTTTTGTTGGCAGGATGATGTCTCTGCTTTTTAGTATGCTGTCTAACTTTGCCATAGCTTTCCTCCCCAGGAGCAAGTGTCTTTTAATTTCTTGGCTGTAGTCCCCATCTGCAGTGATCTTGGAGCCCAGGAAAATAAAATCTATCACTACCTCTATTTCTTCCGCATCTATTTGCCAGGAATTGAGAATTAACAAATATCAAATGTAAGTTTACACTTTCAATTTTACTCTTTAATCCAACTTTACTGTATAACAATTTTATCACAGTAGTGTTTAAATTATTGTACTCATTCAGCTGATGTCCAGGTGAACTCCTAAGAAAGGCAAACTCTGCAATGCTCCAGGTGTACAATTCTACTATTGCCCCTTTGCACAACCCAAATCCCTTGCTCACTCAAACAAACAATACATCCAAATAAAGATAAAGTTCCTGTTAACCACCTGTGTGCTGCTTCATACAAAAATAAAAGTATCACCTTTTTGCCCACTTTCCCTAGTTCTCTCTTCCCTCTTTTTTTAGCAGATAGGAAGTCAATATTCACAAGTGATGTTGGTACAAGCAGCCTTCCATTGTTCACCTCAATCACATTATAATACAAATTTGTCTCCATTGCATTTTTTTTTTTGAGAAATTTAAAGAAAAAGAAGATGTTTCATAGAGTTCAATTCTGTCCCACTGGGCAGTATGGAGAATGATTGGTAGTTCCTCTCCTGGGAAGAAAAAAAACCAGCAGTTGGTAGAAAAGAAAATGAATTTGAGAAAACCCAAGTCATCAGTATTAAAATAGAAAAGGCAGTACCAATCACTGGCTTCATTACTATGTTTCAATATAGCTCCACAATCCAGGTAGCTGATTTTATACTGGCATATTTTCCTGCCAGCTCAGGATCTGGTTGACATTACAACATGGCTGTAAGACTATGCCTTTCCATCCCTCTTACAGCAAAGCTACTGTATTTCGGTCGACACAATCCAGGCAATTGCCAGATGGAAGCAAAGAAATTTCAGTTTTCTATTCCTCTCTGCCATCACTTAGTGATCAATTTAGATTTTTGCAGTGTAGACATAGTAGCCTTATTTTACATTAATAGCCCATCTCAGGGTGTCAAGCTCTAGACAAGATGATACCAACATTTTCCTTTAGTTGAATCAGAATGAGTCAGAAAGAATAACATCTAATGTTTATTTGTCACTTTTTAAAGAATGAAAAGAGGATAATACTTTGTTTCTGTTGTTAAGAAGTAATAGAACTTTTATCTGTATAGTTCTGATGGCCATAAATAGCCTAGGCTTCTTGATTCAGAATTCCCATGGTTAGTCAGTCAGTTTGTCTGTCTGTCTGTCTCTCTTTCTCTCTCTCCCTCTCTCTCTCTCTCTCATTCCCAGTAGTGTTTCGAAACCTTGGCAACCACCTAAGACTTCCTTGGACTCTGGGACCCAGGCCAAATCTGCCTCATTTCTACTCTCCTTGTGCTATTGAAGCCTACCACACTATTCTGTGAAGCCTACTCTGATTCCTAGGTTCAGGCTGCCATGGCTATCTTACAAAACAATCTCAAACATAAATTTGAAAATTGGGTGAGATGTATTTCAGCATTATTAGACCATTGTTTAATCTTCATGGCTCTTTTTTAGCCTACTGGATATCCTGAACATCTGCAGGCTTCCCAAGATTGCACAATGTAACCTTGAAAAAAAGCAACTGATTACAGAATCTTTTTTTCCCTAAAAAACAAAATTCTGAGATTTTTGGACCAGAAATCTAAAATTTCAGGTGACCTGAACAAAATTTGTAACTTTCAAATAACTCTGACATAACTGATGTAACGAATGGGCAAGACTATGCCAACATGATTTCAAATACTGTACCAAAACTACTGTGATAATTTTGACTTTTATCTCTATTACAAGATGGGAGTTTAGAGTATAACAAAGTCACATGTTTGGCTGGTGCCAGGCCCTCCACCCATTTCTTAACTCTATTCACTTTCTATTATTCTGGGTCAGCTTAGAAAACAAATAGTGTAATTTACCATCCAAATAAAGCAGACAATGAAAGAAATAAGTGTCAAGGCATATTTGTTTTAATGTAGGTATATCCATTTTCCTACATGGGAATACTATTCATTTTGAAAATGAAACCAGTCAGCAGAATGATTCTATTAAGTTACCTTTTTTCCAGCAAAAAAAAGAGAAAGATATAATGAATCAAAGCCATTAATGTGTGATAAATTAAGCATGGTGATATTGCAAATCTACATACATTATGGGATTGCCTGACTCATTTTTATAAAAAGAAATTTTTAAGTGTTGTAATAAATAAAGACAATTCAGTACATTACACTGGGGGTGGAATATTGGTTCTGAGGGCCAGGGTTGTCAAGTTAATAGCAATAGCAATAAGACTTACAGTATATACTGCTGCACAATGCTTTGCAGCCCTCTCTAGGCGCTTTACAGAGTCAGCATATTGCCCCCAATAATTTGGGTCCTTATTTTACCAACCTCAGAAGGATGGAAGGCTGAGTCAACCTTGAGCCAGTAAGAATAGAACTGCCAAACTGCTGGCAGCCGGCAGTCAGCAGAAGTAGCCTGCAGTACTGCATTCTAACCACTGCGCCACCACAGTTCTTAATAACTCTTAATAACTCAAAAGATATGCAACAAATAGATGAGATAATTTTCCAACATTGGAACATCATTTAAAAAAAAAATAGGTTAGGCCCATGTTAGCCCCAATTGTACAATTGAGCCAATTCTCCACCGTTTTGTCTGTTTAACATCTTCAGAAGCTTTGGAAGTTCACTGCATAAGCCGGGGGGGTGGGGGGGTATGTGTCTGTCAGCAATGTGGCACCTGTGGATACAATGTCATAAGTGGGCTTCCTTAGATGTCATTGGCATGATTGTAAAATCAAATCAAACTTGATTAAAAACTAAATTACTGAAACCCTATAAGAAAACCTGTGAAGTTTCAAGTGAAAATGTCAATAAGTTCTGCTAGTTGAGCTATTTTAATTTTTTTTTTTTGTACCTATACCAGGAATGATCTGCAATACCACAGAAGTCTTCAGAGCACATGTTGAAAAACATTGTACTATAACTTTTGTATTTACTCATATATTTTTTTTAATTTGATTTATATGCCGCCCTTCTCCAGAGACTCAGGGCGGCTTATAGTGCGTTAAGCAATAACGCACTGTAAGCAATTTCACAAGAACAGAAAATTGCACCTCTGGTTTTTTACAATAACCTTATGAAATGATTTATGTTGCCAAGTGAGAAATTTGTTAAGTGAATTTTGTCCCATTTTACGACTTTTCTTGCCATAGTTGTTAAGTGAATCCCCGCAGTTATTAAGTTAGTAACACGATTGTTAAGTAAATCTGGCTTCCCCATTGATTTTGCTTGTCAGAAGGTTGCAAAGGGTGATCACATGACCCTGGGACACTGCAACCGTCATAAATATGAACCAGTTGCCAAGCATCCGAATGATTACGGGGATGCTGCAATGGTCATAAGTGTGAAAAATGGTCATAAATCATTTTTTTCAGTGCTTTGTAACTTAGAACTGTCACTAAATGAACTGTTATAAGTCAAGGACTAGCTGTATACTGAAAGTAGAGAGTGAGATTTTCCATGTGAGTCTGTCTTTTGAAAATTATCTGGAAACTACAGAATGCAGTCTCTTGACCAGAGATACCTAACATTTCTGTCCCTTCAACCACTTTAAGAACCTGGTGAAACATATAGACCCCTTCTCATAAAAATATATTTAAATGACTAAAATAAAATACATACTATAGTTATATAGACCATATTACAAAGGAAGTCAATTAGGCTGATATATAGTTATCAAAATACTAAAGCTTAACCAATATGTAATAAAGTAATATAAGTGTCTTTCTATTAATCCATCAAACCATTAGCAAGAAAATACCCTTCCTTGAGGGTCTGGTTATGGAGTCTAGAAATAAAAAATTACTTTGTTGCCTACATATATCATTGAATAAAAAGCTAAATTTCAGCTAAAGATGAATGAAAATAGGTCTATTTTTTTCCCTCATCCATATTTATAGACTCTTTGAAATTTATCCTTTGACCAACAAGGGAACCCAGATTAAAATTGTTACCTGTTCCAATTTTTTGAAAACTGCTGTCTTGACTTCTGTTGTAATGGATGTGGCACTGTTTCTGTAACCGTTGCTGCAGTTCCTGTTAGTGGCTTCAGTTTTGAAAGCTAATTGCCATCTGGTTGTTTCTAGGTCTCAACAATCACATCTGCTTGCTGGTGCGTTTTCCGATTCTGTTTCAAATGTTGCCAGTTAGCCATACACTTTAAGTGGCTTGGGACCAAGTTATTTGAAGGACTCTCTGCCTCTGCAGGAAACCATCTGAATCCTCCAATCAGCCATAGAAGCTTTGTTCCTGGGCTTGTTGATAAGGACAGAGCTTATCAAAGTTGGATTCAAAACAAGCAACAATCTTTTGTCTGTGGGGGAACCCTCATTTGTGGAATACAGTCCTCCTGGAAATAAACTCCCTCCCTATTACTTTCAGACCTTAAACCTCTGGATATTTCAGTCCACTTTTAATTTATGCTACTCTTATCATATATCATGGATTAACTGGTGTTTGTGTGTCTGAAGATTTCCTGTTTTGTAAACTGTCTTCCCATAGTTAAAGGCAGTAGAAAAATATCTTAAATAAACAATACAATACACTTTGGGAGATCAGGGTCTAAGTACATGAAGACCTGGGGGAGTTAGCCTTAGCTACTATTCTGTTCCCAATATGATTGATTTTATGCCATCAACTCCTAGTGGCCATAGATTTTCTCCATGATGATCTATCCCTAGCCTGATCTTTAAATTCTCCCTGTGGTGCACTCATCGCTACTACAACTAGTCCATTCACCGTGCTGCTGGTCATCCTTTTCCTCTACTTTTTCCAGCATTAGAGCTTTTTCCAAAGAGCTGGGTTTTCCCATAATGTGTTCAAATTCCCAATATACATGAGTGTAATCCATATATTTGAGGGTTCCTGGGATAGAAACTACATTTATTTACTAGATTTTTATCCTGCTCTTATTATTTTTTTAGAAAAATAATTCAAGGCAGTGAACATACGGCAAAACTCCTTTCTCCCTTCTTTTCCCCGTAAGAACATCCCTGAGAGATGAGTTGAGCTGAGAGAGAGTGACTGACCCAAAGTCATCCAGTGTCAGATGCAAATAACCGGATCCACACATGTAGAATCAAAGCTATTTCATTGTATTGTGCCTATAATACAGGAATCTCTCCAGATTGCTTGCCTTCTCCTGGGAACAGATAGATAAGGTTCTATGGAGCTTGGGAGGGTCAGTCCTGGATCTCTTGCGGCTGCATAACAATTCAAGGCTAATCCCCTGCTTGACTCCTCCTCCCTTCCTGGCTATGCTTTTTCCATTTTTCTGTCAAGTGCCAGGGGAAATCAGGAGATTCAGGCAGTTCAAATAAGTATAAAGATTTATTGAAAGCTTAAGCTCTCTACAAGAATCTGAACTATCAATGGTCAAGGGAATTTAGCAGGAGTTAAGAAGAGAAAGGAATTCAAAGTGGACTGGACATAGATCTCTTGTGGGTGTGCCAGGACTCATGATGACATGTTTGACCCCTCCCTCAGGCTCAGCCTGTCATCTACATTTTCATGCCTAAAGTGGGACTAGAATTCACAGTCTCCTGGTTTCTAGGCCAGCCCCTTAACCACACCACCAACCTGGCTCAGAATAACCAACATGTGTGCCTGGATTTACTGTACAAGAAAGAATATATGTTTGAATAAAGCTGGAGATGTTAACTGCTTCCAGGAGTGCTATGGTTGTTATGAATTACCAGTCCCAGAATTTTTTTCTGTGTGTGAGAGAGAATTGCCAGAAAAGAGAGAGAGCAAAGCCGCCTAGGATCCTCAAAACAAAACAAAAAAAGTTGGCACAATTGATTTATTGGCCCAAAGCATTTCTGAATTAATGTGTATTTGTTTCTATTCTATGCCTGTGCATATCTTATTGCCAGGTCTAATTATATGTATAATCAAGCAGCCAAAAATATATGGAGACTAAGCAGTTTTGAAAACAGCAGAAAGGCACCCAGAATTCATGCAGTTTTTAAAAAACAGGCAATGATTTCCTTCTGTTTCACTTCGGTGCCTTTCACCCAGAGGCTTTCTCGCTTGCATCCAACTGCAAAACAAATATGCCCCAGAGCTCTCTTTTATCTGCTGTGCTTCCACACGGAGCCACAGAGCCCATACTTGAGACGGCTTTAAGTGGTCCTTGAGAGTACCAGCATTGAAGTAGAATTTGTTCCCATATCCTGTCACAGGTTTTGTTTGGACAGATCTGCAATGGTTCACTGATCATTTTGGTTTGACCATTTTGAAGGAGAACCCACCAATTTTGGTCTTTAAGGTGCCTTTTGCGCTGTGACTCAGTAGCATCATTTGCTTCAATTATGCTTGTAGCAAAATATGCAATGTAATATATATGTTATATATTACATATATACAAAATATATGTAATATAAAATGGAAATTTTATGTTCCTGGCTCAAAGCACTGGTAAATAGCAATTCATCTGTTAGTAAGAGTAAGAGTGTTCCAGAACAAGCTTTGCTCATAGAGTAATCCAGTGGTGAAATCCAAATTTTTTTACTACCGGTTCTGTGGGCATGGCTTGGTGGGCGTCATGTGGCTTGGTGGGCATGGCAGGGGAAGGATACTGCAAAATCTCCATTCCCACCTCACTCTGGGGCTAGCCAGAGGTGGTATTTGCCAGTTCTCTGAATTACTCGAATTTTCCGCTACCGGTTCTCCAGAACCTGTCAGAACCTGCTGGATTTCATCCCTGGAGTAATCCCATGAAGCAGATAGGAAACTCAGAGTGGGCCCATTCAGAAATGTTGAAAAGAGATTTTCAGTATGAAAATAGATTTTTGTGTGGATGGGCATTGAGGGTATGTATGAAATGCAATTGTTGTGCAGGCTGGTGTTGAAGCTTGTACAAAGCCATGAAGGAATCATGCATGGTCT